AGTGACCCACATTGGGAACTGTGCCTTTCAGGGTTGCAGCTCTTTGGTTGACGTGACCATCCCGGACTCAGTGACCCACATTGGGAATGGCGCCTTCGCATTTTGCAGCTCTTTGGTTGACGTGACCATCCCGGACTCGGTGACCTACATCGGAGGTGATGCCTTTGAGGGGTGTCCATCTCTGGAATCAAGTTCTGAATGCGCACGCTACACATCGCTACACAGCTGCCCTCTCAATATAGCCAGAAAGTGACACTGTCAGGAATGCGAGTACGGCTGGTTTCTGGAAGGCTGGGTTTGTCCCCAACAATGGTGTCATCGCTAGGCCCTAGGCGTCACTGGCGCTGGCTTGCAGAGGCCTGGTCAAGAAAATCATGGACACTGCGTCAGCAGTAGGGCAAAAGTCAAAGTCGGTAAAGCGGGCTTTGCAAAAAACAATGACATGTTATTGATAGAACTATAATGTTGTTTGACTTCCAAGTTGCAGAAGACCTGTGCGTTGCAGAAGATCAACCCTAGGCCCCAGGCTTTAGAAAGCATCATCGAAACATCATTTGATTTAGATTTAAGAGCCTGAATCCCGCACAACAAATAGAAACCATGTTCGCTACTAGGAACCAGTGCATCGCCTTTTCGTTCGTCACAAGTGCCAAAAACCGTTCGTTTTTTAAGAAACGAAGCGAACGTAGGAAAGGAACCATTTGGTTTCACCTCCAAGAGAGGTCGAGAGGTCGCTTCACGTTCGGACCCAGGGATCCTGTGGTACATATGGGATGAGCGACCTTGGGGCTCTTCAACCTCTCTACCAGCAGTCACAAGACGGGGTGCGATCCATGGAGGTTAGGGGTGCCCATGATCCACTCCACAGCCCCTGGATGGGACGAGCCACACCACCCCTTTGTCCTTTGTGACTGCTGGTATAGGCTCTTTCGGATGTTCCACGGATGTTCCACGAGGGTCGGGACGGGGAACACGGCCGGATGGGACTGTTTTTTTGTTGGGTTTTCTGGTGCCCGGAGAGGTCCCGGCGCACCCGATGCGTTCAGGAGATGGGGCCCTTCGCCATGTTCAGCAAGTGGAACATGTTTAAAAGTAGGCATGTTCCATCTCAATCGTTGGTCCTCATACCAGCCTGAAGAGGCCCCCCCATGAAAGCGATCGGTCGACTCGTATCGGTCGACTCGATACAAGCTGCGAGGCTACCTTGCTCGGTCCCCATAGCCAACCCAAACACTCCAGTCCTGCCAACGAGGGTCGACTTGGCGGTGTGTATATATATACGAGTTCATCATCCAGACGCAACGCGACATGTCGAGCCTTCATCATTGATTGACGAATAGATCCCAAACCATGAAACTGTACGCAACCAAGCCTTTAGAGAACGTCGATTGGCATCCATATGCAAGGTTTTATTTCCGGCCTAGTGGACCTCCTGAAAACCCGCCGCTAAACCATCCAAGAATTCTAAAGGGATTAACCATCCAAGGATATGTATTCACATGAGTTTCTCAATTATTCTGCATGACCCTCGTGGCTGCGACGCAGGCGTTGTGAGGCAGATGAGGGGCCAGATCAACCAGCACAGGAGACAATTGCGGTGGCGGTGTGAAGGAAAAGAGTCAAACTACTGCAACGGCCTCCAGGCCTCCAACCTACTAGCAAAACAGTCAAACTTGGACCTTCTTTCGGGGTGTGAAAGATTGAGATTAAGCAGCCAGGTGAACCTGAGTTCCTGAAGGTGCTATTCTAGGAAGTTCTTGGTTGTTTTCATGGCTTCAATCAGAAGCAGAACATACATTGCATCCGGGTAATCAGTCTGACCCCAGGCAAAACGGTTTCCCCACTCAAAACGAACGTCGGTGGCGTATTCGGGTGCCTTTGTCGTTCGAACCTTTGAGCCTTTGGTCGCTCGGGGGGGGCCCAGGCAGGGCGAAGGCCTCCTGAGTGAAGGTCAATCAAGATCAGCCTCGTCTGAGATCCACCTGTAGGCCTTGATCACTTGGATGTTGGGCCGGGTTCCGCACTTGGATGGAAATTCAGACTTGGGAGTGAAGCACAGACTGCTCCGCACGAACGAGTGAAGGTCCACACTTGGGGGTTCCGCACTTGGGGGAAAGGGTTTTGGATGAAGGAATTCAACAGATTTCCACCACATATCCACTGCCATCCACTCCCTGAACTCATGGGAGTGGCATGGCGGCCCCGAAGGCGATTGCGGATGACCAAATCAATCAGACCCAACAGCATCAACAGCGCTGCCGCAGTGATCCATGAGGACCTTTCAGTGAGTGTATCCACACAATTATACACATCACTTCAAATCTGAAGTGATCCGTTCTAAGCGGCTCTTCGCGGTCTTCGCGCTCTTTGTGGCAGCTCCAGGAGGTGCAGGGCGCGCGTGCGGGCCGATGCTTGTACAACGGCAATTTGGGCCGCTTGGACACGAAAACACTGGGAAGGCTTTCTGAAGAGGAAGAATCCGCACAGGCCCGACCGGCATTGGGTGGGATTGTTCATTATTTTTCAGATAGCAGAGGTCTGGACCCTGGAAAAAGATCCTTACCTAGCACTTCCTGTTTGGGTGCCCTGTCTGGAGACCTGTTTACGTAAGGTAGGGTAGTCTAGCCAGGACACCTTAAACAGAGGATGATCCTGGCAAGTGATTGTTGGGCGGATTCTTCCTTCGTGGGGGGTAGATGAAGGGAGTCACCTGCCTGTCATCTTTTGAACAGACCTGGACCCGACTTCTTTAGAAAATGGGACATGACCCCATAAAAACAGGTACAAGACTACCCATTTTCCGAGGTACGAACGGGTCGACTCCAGGGATTGGGGCACAGATCGCCTCTCATCCCATTCGAACCGAACAGGCGGACCCTTGGACCGCTGGGTCCGTTTGGTCCGCCTGACGGACGAGACGAGGGAGATACCGAGGTGTGACTGCCTGCCGGTCCATGTGAGCTGCTACATTCGCCGCACTCCATGACTAATTCATATGGCCAAAATACTGTAAGTGCATTGCTCAAAGTTAAGACTACAGTTGGACTACTCCAGCATTGTAAGTGCTCGGAGGTGGGAGGTAGGGAGATGTAGGGGTGCCAGGAAGGGACACGTGTCCATCCCTGATGTCCAATGGTACATGTACTTGCTGACGATGTTGTAGCAATCGAAGTGAAGGTTTGTCCTTCTATGAAAGGGAACCAGATGCCATAGTCTCTCAAGACACACACTCCGAAGTGGATGGCATGGTCCCTTGGATGCCCATGTTTTAATGAACAAACAGGTTGCGCCATCCACTTTCATGATTATTTCGATATTTTCTTTGAGGGGTTCACAAGTCTCAGTTTGTCGCCGTCAGGTATACGGGTTGTCTCAGTCGAAAAAACAGCTGGTGCATGCTGGTGCCTTATCTCGGACCATGCTTCTGTACTCTCCAAGCACCAAAACCTTTCCCCTGATCCAGAGACACTATACCATATCTAGGGTTTTTGGTCACGATGCGCGTCCGAAGCATCCCAATATCATGAGGCTTCGACCAAATTTATGTTGTGGGTCGGTTACGCTGGTTCCTTTAGCTCGTAAAGGGCAAGGGGAGCCGACTATGTCCATCCACAATAGGTTCCTATATGTTCCTATGTAGATTTTTCCCATTGCTCACATGAACATCCCCAAAAGATAGTCCCACAAGAATAGCAATTAGGGGACTATGATCTCCACAGGAAGCATGAGCATCAATGCATACCACCAACGAGTAAACGCGCGTGTCCTGTGCTCAATTGCCATTCATGAGGAAAGCTTCACCCAATGTTGGAGTCAATCATCCCCATCAAGATACTCAGATACTCACTTTTCGACAAAGGACCATTCAACAACATGTTGGTCGGGTACGCCGCCACCTTCTTTGTGCCGAAGAAAGCCCCAACAAAACCACACGGACCGTTGTTCCCCAGACACGACCAATGGGACTGCCATAGTTCTGCCGCCCCAGAAAGACCCCTCAAACGCACCACCCTGGCCGTTTCTCGGCAGTCCGGACTGGCAGTCCCAGACACTCCATGTATGCCATATATGCCTACATTGACCCCTCTGGCACCACCCCTGGCCTGATCGGCAGTCCTATGGCAGTCCCAGACGGGTCGTGTCTGGGGTGGACTTCGATGTTCGACCTGTGCGCTGTTCCAAGGGACTCGCTTGGACGACGTTGAAAGGACCAACGTCTGGGACTGCCGAGAAACGGACTGCCGAGGAACTCACGGCCAGGGGTGGTGGTGCGTGCCAGAGGGGTCTGGGTTATGGACTTTATTGGATTGAATTCACGCCTCGACCTGCTCGTCCAAGGTCTCGGCCTGCGGACACCTCGACGGAACCCACGGACGAGACAACTGGCACCGTTCTGAGGCCGTTTTCCTTTGGCCTGTGGCGCCTCTCATGTGGGGACGCGGCGCTTGTGTGTGTGCCGCACCGGCGAGGATTGCAGAGCCACGCGTGCGTCTTCGGCGTGTTGCGGGGCAGGGCAGGGCAGGAGAAGGAGGATGCAGGTGGATTTGGGGGCAATCCAACTGCTAAGTGGCCCATTTATGGGAAACAACAGCTTTGGGGTCTGAAACAAGAATGGGGGAGTCTCAGGACCTGCAGGGCAGCCAGTAGAAGGAAGCTTTGGGAATGGGGGATCCTCCTGAGGTGCAGCTGTATGCAATTACAGTACATGGTTGTGCTCTAAGTGATGTCAATGGTGTTTCAGAAGTATCTTTGGAACGTTGCTTGGATGAATGCCAAGCAGAATGGTTGTATGTTGAACAGTTTATTTTACAGAATGTGTTTTGTTTGATTCATTCGAGTCATGTGAGCCATGTGGTTGAACAATAACAATGAAAGTTCTTCTTTCAGCGATATAGCTGGGATGCTTTACTACCTGAGAGTCATGTTCGTTGTAAGACTAGAAGACTCAAAATGAGGGACTCCTTAAATCCTCAAACACATGATTGTTTGTTTGGTTGCATAAAGCTTAGCATCCTGATGTCCACCCAAACCTGGCTATGTTGCTCAACTTGGCTAAGTGGGTCTAGGGCCTAGGGAAAACGTGTGTGTGTTGACGCACAAATGTCATACTCAACTGAGTGCCTGAAACGGACTGCTCTATGGACCTATTTCAACGTAATATGGATCTGTATACATCTTAGATGATCTTACCAGGGGTCACAAAGGGGTGGTGTTTGGTTCCTAAGTGAGTGGATAATGGGCGGTATAGACTTCTTTTGCGGAATCATTTGAGCTCACAGCTGCGACTTTCGCACCGGATTGCACACCGGCATGTCGGCGATTCGCATGCGCGTTCCGCTGGTCTCCGCGCTCGCGGATCGCACCAGGTCGCGAGCGCATCGCTTTGGCCGCCGTCGCGCAGACCACGGAGGCCATACACGGAAAAGACCTGTGGTGTTTTCCATTGGGCTCGGCTCGGGGTGGGTTTTGGATGGTGGTTGTTGTTTTTGCGTATATGTAACGTACAACTATATAGGTATATGGGCAAAGGAAAGGCTACATTAATTGGAGAGGAAGCTGATCCAAAAAGCAGACAGAAGACCAGACAAGAGAACAGAAAAGAACAATACAGTTCAGTGGGGGGTGAATGGCAAGATGAGCACAAATTAATGTGGATCGATGTCATTTCATCGTCCATGTCATTTCATGTCATGTCATTCCTCCATTTCAGAAACTGGATACCCTTCCTCCAACAATCCATGCAAGCCGACCACGACCCCCAGGCCATGCACGACATGGAAGACTCCACAGGCCATGCCATCCACTTCCATGATTGTCAGAGAGTGTTTCCTCCATCGGACAAGCACCAAACGGATGCAGACAACTGACCCCCTAAGGATCCAAGTACCCTCTGAGGTTCGGTGTTTGGGGTGGGTGCCAGGAGGGTCCAGTCGTACCTGTTGAGGAGGCACGACTGGATCCCTAGGGTGTTTGGATCGCATGATCGCGTGGGATCGGACGACCGAGGCTACGAGCACTGAAAGGCCCAAAGCACCGGTGCTCGAGGCTACGGAGCGGCTGCGCACATCGCGTGCGTTAAGTGGCGGAGCGGTCACAGCACGGCGAGTGGCACGGCGCAGTGAGGAGAACAGGTTTGTGCTTGGCCGGCCGCCGGCCTTGGTGCCATGCATGTGTGCTTGAGCCAGCCATATATACCAACAGAGGTGGGTCAGGACCCGAACGTTCGCCTATCCCAGTTCGGTACCCCTGGTTACGGGTCCTAGTTCAGGTCACTGGCTACCTCTCTTGGTATATATAGAGAGAAGAGATTGAGAAACACCTTTTGGCTGTGGCACCCACAAACCCGACCCCCGGGTCATGGCTGAACAGCTTCGTAAGGGACGTCAACAGAAGGCGTGAGGGGAGGTTGCGTTCCTCACAGCCCTGGAAGTCAAAGACCATGTTGAAAATGGTTGATCTGGTTTTGTAGTGTCAAGCCCTTAGTGAAACAATGGTTGTTCCGTAAAGGCTACTTCTAGGGTATGTATACAGTATATTATATAACCGCAGAGGGCCTACACGATCCATATTCCAGACGCGACCAGTCTGGGACTGCCATATATGCCGATCAGTTGGGGTGGTGCCAGGGGGGGTCTTTCTGGAGCGTCTGGGTATGGGAACTGGGTTTCAAACCCCTGCAATTTCGATGAAACCTGAGCCACATTGGCATGGCTTCTGCATGGAAACCTGATCATTTGCCATGTATCGCAACAGTATCCCAAGACACCACCGGACACCCCAATGAAGGATAATGTAGGCGTATATGCCACCTCTCCAACTTGTGCACCTGGCATCCATGGAATTTGCTGCGTTTGTAGTAATGAGGTGTGCAGGCGTCCAATAAGCGAGATCCTCCCAACACTCCGGCAACCACGGATGAAAGAAACTGATGGCTTGCAGCAAGTCTAGACGACAGAGGCCCCACGTCTGTTGGGACCTACGTGTCGACCGACTCATAGCGCCACTGGGATGCCCCAAGCGTGTGTGGTTTTTAACAGTCGGCAGACCAAACTGAAAGTAACAAATAGACGCACATGTCACACGACTTATTAAAGTAAGTTATGCATACCTTGTGTGTCTTCAGATTCGTCAAGGTGCATCTCCACCCGATTCAAGACAAGCTGAAGAAGATCTTCCAACAGGTTTTTGTTTGCACATATAACCTTAAATAGGCACCCCTTAACTTTTAAGAGGCTATTTATAGACACCTCATGGAGGGTGCTGGTACATATATACCCAATATGATGGCATTCCCACTTCGGGCGCCTTTTGGTCCGATCGATCTGGTCACTCACGTTGATAACGGTCAGCCAACGAAGGAGACGCGTCATTACCTTGAGACCTCGTACGGATGGTACCCTTTTTGGGGGTTCTTGGTTCAACATGGGACCTCTTGGATGGTGGATGCTTTCGGCCCGGGGCGTGGGGCGAAAATTTGGAGAAGCAAGAGTGGGGTTCACCCCACTGGCCTACGAGGAAGTTTTCGGAGGATGCCCAAGACCAGCTTTGGCACAGCTGATGATTCTACCTTAGGGTTTGATGGATTTACCCTTACTCCTTGGTTTAGAAGGGATTTCCACTAAAGGTTGAAGCCTTAAAGCAAAGGACCTATGGACATGCCAAGTACCTGTTTTACCTCCTCTATATATAGTATAAGATATATATAAGCAGTCCTTTTTCACCAACGACCTGCCCTTTCCACTGGTTCGCGTGACATGACATCGCAATGTCAGGCGCCCGTCACCGCTCCCCCCGCGCTGGATGCGTTGCTGCCGCAGAACTTGGCGGTGCTGGTGGGGGTGTCCCCAGAGGAAGTCGCGAAAACTGGGGAGGAAGGCAGAACCCAACACCCTAGGCCTCCAGTCGTACCTTCGTTTCGAAGGTGTGTGGGGAGGGTCCAGTCATACCTTCTGAGGAGGTACGACTGGAGGTGTAGGGACAATGAAGGCCAGGCTATAGTTGGTATAGGAGAAGGGGTTGAACTTGTTGGGAGTGGGGCTGACCTAATTTTTGAGTGCTATTTCATTAATATGAGGGGGGTTCTTTTGACTGTTTACACCAGTTAAATCACTTGTCATATCTTGGGGGCATCCCACGTCTCTCGACTCATCTCTTCCACCTTTGACAGCTCGGCATCACTTGGAGGGGATGACTTGCTGACCACATGCACATGTCCCATCCATTGCTTGAAGTCGGAGTATATATCAATGCATCAATTCCTTAAACCATTGCTTGGAGACCGAAAGGAAGAGTGGCACGATTGCCACTTCCCTTTCAGAATCCACTTCCCTGTCCTGAGAAGAGTGGCACTAGTGGTGTAGTAGACCTAGCCGAGCCAGGGATGCCCTACTGTAGACCTAGCCAGGGATGCCCTACTGTAGCCCTAGCCTTCTAATCATGGTTGACCTGGTGTCTTGAGGTCCTTCTCAGTTCCTTCTCAGCCGGGGTGGCGAGGGTCGATGCAGTCGTGAGGTCCACAGACCCCTCCAGTCCTCCAGACCTGGGAAGCTCACACCTGATCCCGATCCGAGCCTTCCGGCCTTCCGGCCCCACCAACCAGGAGTCGACTGAGGAGTGGACGGAGTCGGCTCGGTGGTTGGATGTTGAAGGAACCCCAGGGCATCCGTCGGCAGTTCCCACGAGAGCTCGCTGGGAGTCCCAGAGGTTCCAGTTCGACTCAAACCGACTTCGAATCCCGGCCTGGTTCCTATGGTTTGCCCAGACGCTCATGGACCCTCCTAAGTAGGGGTCCGGACCCTCAAATCCCTAGGGTTTTGAGGGACCAAGAGCTGTTTGGAGCGTCTGGGTCCACTGCAGAATCGCACCCCGAATCGATCACCTCTACCAGGACCCTCCGAACTCGAGGTGTCTGTTGTTTCCATCGCAAGGATCGGAGGTGAGGAACGAGGTGTCACGTACCGTTGGACACCAGTTTCAGAGTCGGTCGGTCGGTCGGGTCGCTTCCTGGGTTCGTTCCACTGGTCGGCGGTGTCGGCTGTGCCATCGCCGGGTCGACGGCTGTGACAGTGAAACAACCACGACGCAACGACACGCCTCATTCCCAAGCGAGTAACGCTCGCAAAGCCAAGAAGAAGGCCCAAGTGCCGACATGACATGAGACGCATATAGTATAGTAGTCAGCTTAAATCCAATTTGTGAAAACCTTTGAGTCATGGCGAAGAGAATTTCAGCGGTCCAGCCCAGTGGCGAAATCCTGGTTCTTGAAGTCACGCCTGAGGCAACAGGCAAGGAGCTCAAGCAGCAGATCAAGAATCGAAAGTTTTGGGATGAGCTTACTCGTAACACTACGGGTGTGGAGATCATTGTCAGAGACAACCAATTGCTGGCCAATGATGCAGAGGTATACGAAGCTGGAATTGCTGAAGATCCAGTTGTGAGTATTGTTTTCAAGCCAAACGTTGTGATATGCTCCAACAAAAAAACAGATCGCCAGTCTTGGTGGCATCCTTGACCCAGACCTATTGCTTGTGGTCGAAATTCCCAACGATGAAACCCAAATTAATGAAAGCGCTTTCGAAGGTTGCGACACATTGGCCAAGCTGACCATCCCGAACTCGGTGACCCATATTGGCAATGATGCCTTTCGTGATTGCACATCTTTGGCAAACTTGACCATCCCTGACTCGGTGACCCACATTGGGAATGGTGCCTTTCAGGGTTGCAGCTCTTTGGCGAACTTGACTATCCCGGACTCGGTGACCCACATTGGGGATGATGCCTTTCGTGATTGCACATCTTTGGCAAACTTGACCATCCCACACTCGGTCACCCACATTATTTTCAGGGTTGCAGCTCTTTGGCAAACTTGACCATGCCGGACTCGGTGACCCACATTGGGGATGGTGTCTTTTCTGATTGCAGCGCCTTGGCAAACTTGACCATCCCTGACTCGGTGACCCACATTAGGGCTGAAGCCTTTTCTGGTTGCAGCGCCTTGGCAAACTTGACCATCCCAGATTCGGTGACCCACATTTGGCATAGTGCCTTTCGTGATTGCAGATCTTTGGCAAGCTTGACCATCCCGCACTCAGTGACCCACATTGGCAATGATGCCTTTAAGTATTGCAGCTGTTTGGCGACCTTGACCATCCCAGACTCAGTGACTGACATTGGGAATAGTGCCTTTCAGGGTTGCAGCTCTTTGGCAAACTTGACCATTCCGAACTCAGTGACCAACATTCGAGAATGTGCCTTTGCGGGTTGCAGCTCTTTGGTCAACTTGAGCATCCCAAACTCAGTGACGCGCATTGAG